ATGAATTATTGAAAATAATAATGAGTATCTGACATTGTCCTGGAGAGAATTAAAGAGCCTATTAAATGAATAAAAGGGGGGTATTTAAAAGCATTGATGCGAGCAAATTTTTCTATAAATGTTATGAAGTAGAATGCCTAGAGTTAACTTGGACATCAGGTAACTTAATATTATTAAATCCAAATAAAAATTAACGATATAAAGCTCAAATGAATATAAAGGAAACGAGCATTCAATGGTGAGATAAGGAGATGCTTGAGTCTATCAGAGTAAGGAGGACGAGAGTACCAAGGACCACCGCAATACGCTCTAGAAAATATGTGCTGAACCCTTTCAATATATTTTATATGACCTACCTGAAATGGCAACCAAGCTTGTATGCCATATTCAAGTAAAGGGCGGCACATTGCTAAGTACAGACTACGGTATGCCTCGTTACCCTGTGTCCTCCCAACTAATCTGGTGATAAACCCAAGCATCTTTGCAGCACGAGAAGTAGCATAATCAACTTGTTTACCCCAACTTAAATTACAAGTCAAAAAAAATACCAAGATGTTTTTGGAAAGGAACTGAATCAAGAGCGGAATCATTGATGTAGTAATTTGTAGCAAAATTTGTGTTTGATCTAGTGATGTGCATGACTTTACATTTGTTAGAGTTTAATTGCATATAGTTATTAGTGCACCATGTTGAGATATTATTTAAATCAGATTGAAGGATGTGGGAGTCTTCTGCATTGCGGATGGGACGAAAAAGAACAGTAGCATCAGCATACTGGGGCAGGGATGAAAGTACGCATGAAGGCAGATCGGAAACAAAAAGATTAAAGAGAATAGGCCCGAGGACAGATCATTGAGGGACTCCAGATAATACAGGCATCCACTCAGAGTGTGTTCCCATAAACTGGGAGTAGGGGTTGTCTCCCGGTGTTCTGCCCAATCACCACCAGAAGGACCCCACTGGAAATAAGTTTTCTTCTAGATTTTCGTGGGCTATCCTTGGTGTTTACACCGAATAAATCCAATCCAATCCAATACATTTATGCAATTCTTGTTTGACAGTTAAAAAGTGATTTTCTCATAATATACAGTATTCACCAAATGACGGTAAGCCAGTAGTGACAAAGCACTAGCACTTAGGTTTCTTTAGAAGCATCCTAAGACAGTTGTTATAACATACTTTCATACATTGCATAGTTTTTTGATTGACTGACCACAAGTTTGAATAATACACATTTATAATAATAAATAATAATAATAATTTATAAAGCGCCAATATCACTAAACCGAAGTAAAATTCAAAGGCGCTGTGCAAGTTCAAAAACTATTAAATAACACACTCTTGGTTTTCCAGAATAGAGATTGAACCACTGACACATAGAGATCTATCACACATTACAACAGCATTGTCTTTTAAAAATCATCAGATAGACCAGGCTATAATTGAGATAGGTGCCACTTGGAGAGGTAGAAATTCTCATATGGTTTTTCTAGACCAGTTTTTTATGGGGAATCAGAATATGTGAGGTAAAAGGGGCGTAACCTGAGAACTTTCGCATGAGGGCGCTAAAATCCAATAAACTACAGATATATAGGTAAAATAAACACAAAAGAGGTAGGTTTAACCAACTTTTGAATATGTAATGATAGGAGTAAATTATAATTTGCTAAAGTTATTAATGTGAAGATGTCGAGAGGCAATTGAGGGCGCTTTTTAAAATTGCGGCCAAAATTAAAGAACAGCTTAACAGCAGCTTCAATACCCTAAATAAATTTACAAAACATGAATGTAATATCTGCTGTTGACTTTTTAAACACAAAATAACATATTTTAGGCTGGTAAGCTAACTCACTTTTGGAAATGTAAGCAAAAATGCCCCCTTATATTAGTCCTTTTCTGTTTAGAGTAATGGAAAATATCACCAGAATCCTAAAAAAAATCCAGCTTTCTTACAAATATCCGGTTGTTTTTCATTATTTTTGTGTACTACACAATGTATTCGAGAGGACCACACAGATAACTACCATAATTTACATGTATAAAGGCATTAATTCATTTATTACATAATTGTCCTTTAATGTGTAGCCCTATGTTGAGCAATAATCTTCATGTATTGCTAATCACACTGCAATCTGAAAGTCTTCGTCTTTATTATAAACAGTTCTTGAACGTCCATGGGCATCACTGTCTCAATAATTTTTTGCTTCATTTGATCATTCCATCTGTTGTGAATACTATTTTTATTGACCAAATCATTTATTTCTGCTTAATTTCCATTTTAGCGATTAAATTTGCTCAAGGGTCTGCTTGCAAAAATGGTGGTAGCAATGATATGTCTGTGATCTTGTTGCCTCTATTGAACATTTCAAATATTTGCTTTATTTACACTTTTCCCCTTAACTTCATACCACAGTCTTCAAGTTCCTTAGACATCTTTTGTGACAGAACATCTAAAACTTTAAAGTTGCAGAAAGTGTCAACAAAACTTTGCCTTTGACTACAGAAGCACGAGATCTAATAAGGGATACTTTCTTCGCTGGTGAAAGCTAATGTCACTTAATTTGAACAACTTTCGGTATTTGCCAGTGTTTGTGTCTAGAATGACTCTCTCTCCGCTGTCATAAAATAAGATATAAAATAGTAACGACTGCAATATTGATGTCTCCAGAATGGAACGGTTGATATTTATGTATTGGTTGTAATTCCTTAAAGCATGCATTGCATGCAGGACGACTTTCGACTCTGCTTTTCTTGGCTGCTACGAAGATTTGGAACTAATACAAAATCTCTTTCAGTGACAAGGATGCATTCTTGCCGATAGCAATATTCAAGAAGGCATCCACTCAGTTTGTCGAAATCCCAGTTTGCAGAAACTCAGTTTGCCGAAACCCAGAATGCCAAATCCAGTTCACTGAAATCATGAAATCCTATTTTCCCAACACTCTGTTTTCCGAAACCCAGTCCAAATTTCTGTTTTGTGTTACAAAAGTACAGCATACTGTGCATTTGAAAGGAAGGAGCTCTTGTGTACAAATTAAAAAGAAAAATATTCGAAGACAACAAAGCTGTTAAAAAACACACTTGAAAGCATGGCTATCAGTTAAAATTAGAAATAAAATGAAATGAAATTAAGGATAAGCATCGTATCCTTCTAAAATACTCCCTCTGCAAACCTTATCAAGATTGTTGTGCCAGGTCCCTGACCACCGAGGCTCTAGTCGGCCCCTTGAGTCAGACCCCCTGTCAACAAATTTCTGGAGCCACAATTGATATGTGTGTATTGTAGATTATTATTAGTTTGTTTATTTCCTTTTTAATTCATATTTTTTTAATATGAATTTATGTATTTCTCTATATGAATTATGTATTTTATTAGGTATGCTAATAAAACGTTTTAACTGCGAGGCCTATTAAATTGAATTTTATTTGCTGATAGCTAATTGATTTACAGATTAAAAGAAAAAGAATCATTTAACTAATAAGCCGATATTTCTTATACGA